CAACCGACGTAGAAAGACATTTATTGACACTTTCTACGTCGGTTCCCGGATGAACCGACGTGGAAAGTCTTTTTGTTTTTATTTTTTTTCACCTAAAAATTCACTTAAATTATAAAATTGTGACTGATAGGATTCAAACCTAGTATTTTAGAATTAAAAATTAATACTCAAATCACTAAACTACTATAATTTTCTGATAATAATTTACAAATAAATTATATTTATATACAAATAAATATATATCCGTGTTTTTATTTTTTTTCAACCAAAAATTCACTAAGTTAAAGAATTATCACTGACATCATTTGAACCCGAGTATCTTAGAGTTGAAAGCTAATATCTCAACCACTAAACTACTATAATTTTTTTATAACAACTTACAAATAAATTATATTGGTATTTTCGATCGAGGGTAAAAGTGGGATTGACTCTTCTTTGAGTGAAAATACGTTAAAGCTCACGGAAATTCACTCGCTCAAGCCTCGCTTGAGCGAAAATTGGTATTTTTTGCTTGAGAGCGAATGACGCGTTTCCCAAATTTATTTTATATCATTATATAAATAAATTATAAAGATTATATTTTGTCAATAAATTACAAACTCACATAAAGAGATCCGCTTACAAATTTAGCATCAAATTTTGAAAACTCACTCGACACACACTTTCACCTTCGAGCGTGCCCTTACATTCAATATATAAATATATAAATATATAACTATATAAATATATCAAAATATATAAATATATTTGTATTTATATATTTACACGGATATATATTTATTTTGTATATAAATATAATTTATTTGTAAGTTATTATCAGAAAATTTTAGTAGTTTAGTGGTTGGAGTATCAATCTTCAATTCTAAGGTACTCGAGTTCAAATCCTGCCAATGACAATTCTCTTAAAAAATTAATAAACTTCTAAAAAATATAATATAAAAGAGATGGAGACCTAATAAAAATAGGTAAAGGGTTGTAAATAAATAAAAATTATTAATTTGAAAAATCAGACTTTCAATGTTGGTTTAATAGGACCGAATAAAAATTATTAATTTAAAAAATCAGACTTTCAATGTTGATTTAATAGAACCGACGTGGAAAGTCTTATTTGTAGTAGTAATTGTTAATACATTTTTCAATTTCTAACCGTTAAATATAGAAATAAAGTAAAAGGGTATTGACCGCACTATTTATTAGTGAATTTTGTATTGTACGTTATCTTTGACGGAGAAGAATATAAAAATATTTTAACGGGTTGACTCAATTTATTGTAAATATTTTATAGCTCGCCATTAATATTTTAGTAGAATATATCTTTTTAAAAGAAAATATTACAGTGAGCATTTTCAAGAAATTTATATATAAATAATATGCTTTAAAAGAAAAATTATCTAAATAGAATAATTGAATTTATTTATCTAATTAGATTTGTTTATTTTATTTTTCTTTTTTCATCAACTACTCTTTTATATTTTTTTCTCTCATCCACTTTTTATTTTTCTATTTTCTCATTTTCTTTCTCCTTTTTTCTTTTTTAATTATATATAATAATTACAATAACGTCAATGAAAAGTTATATTTATCAATTAAATATAACAATAGAAAAAATAATTATTTTGTGTAAATTATGTCATATAAAATTATTACTTGGAAAGAATAATTATTACTTGGAAAGTATTTAGAACAAAATTTTTAGAAAAATAAATTTTCAATTATGTGAAGAGAGAAAAAGAAATAGAGTTTATGTAATTAAAGTAAGGGGGTATGACAATAAGAAAATATGCCTGTAAGTTTGAAGAGTTGGAAAAGAGTTGGAAAAATACTTTGGGTTCTTTTATCACCTAGATGAAATGTATAAAATTTGATAATAGACTTATACCTGAATTAAGAAAAACAATGAAAATATTAGAAATTTCTCATTTTCCTACGCTTATTGTGGAGGATTTTGAAAACAGTCAAAATAACAAACCAAAATTTTTGGATCTCGTTAAATAAAAGGAAAAAAAATAAGGGAAAATCCTACAATCACCCCCATGGGAGATCTTAACCCTGAAATTCTTTGCAAAAATTCTAATAAACCTATAAATAGTGTAGACAAGATCATTGTGTTAAAGATTGTTATCTTAAAGGACCTGTTTGTTTCAAGTGTGAAAAATCTGTGTGGAAAATCTGGTCACATATTCTCTAAATGTCGATAACAAAAATCATATTTGAATATTTCTGCACCCAAAGCAAGACCTACAACAATAGGAAAAGTATACACCATGACTACAACTGAAGTCCCTCGAAACAATGATATAATCTAAGGTACATGTTTCATTAAAGGTAAAACTTTAAATGTACTATATGATTTAGGCGCAACTCATTCATTCATTTCTAATAATTGTGTCAAATACCTTGAATTGTCAACCTCTTTTTTAAACACTAATTTGATTGTTTCAATCCCCACAAGTAAGTTTGCAAATTCCCACGAAGTTTGCCTAGATTATCCTTTATTCATTGAAAATAAGAAATTATTTGTAAATTTAATTTGTCTACCTTTATCTCAATAAAATGTAATCTTAAGGTAAGGGAAGAAGACATATCATTCTATTTATTTTATTTATTATGAGTATTAAGTATGATGTCTCTAACTTTATTCTATTTAATGTTTTATATTTATTTTATCTTTAGTTATGTACAAAATTTAGTTTATTTATCTTTATACATTGATCTTATTTTATATTTATTTATTTACATCCAATTACACACTGGTATTTTTTATATTTATTTCTTTACCTTCTCTTTACGCACTAGTCATATCTTATATTTATTTATTTACCTTCGATTACGTACTCGATTTTCTTTTATATTTATTTATTTATCTCTAATTACATATTAGTCATCTTTTATATTTATTTATTTATCTATAGTTACGCACTAGTTCTATTTTATATTTATTTATCTCTAGTTACACAATGGTCTTTGTTTATTAATTTATATTATATTATTTAATTGTTTTTAATTTTTCATATATAATAATATTTAGTTATGAAGATTTGACTACATTGTAGATGGAGGTTGGATCTTGGGGATTTAAATGGGTAAATATCACTTAAAAAATGATTATTTCTAGGTTCATTTGTCCTGACTAATTAGTACACATTTAATTCAAATCTTCATAATATAAAATAAATGGAATATGTTAATGAAATTGAAAAGTTGATTTTGTAAACTATTTTGAGATAATGTTATTTTACATGATTTTTGTTTTCATTTCCTTATTTTAACTCTTGTGCATGATACAACTAAATTATTGACTTAAATACATGGAGACACCAAACTAAAAGACAAATATTATTGATAAATCAATCTTTCAGATGAAAAATATTTGTCAACTTTAATAGTTATATTTGATACTGAAAGCATTATAAATTTCATATATTTATACATATAAATGTATAAACATTTATGTCATTACTTACTTTTGTCAAGATTTAATAGAAAATAATCACCTCTTAAAATATAATTAAATTAACAACCTAATAATAAAAAAAGACATCACATATGTCATTACCCTTCTATCTTTCATAAACACATCCTAATTCCATTTTGGAAGCACCCCAAAATATCATTAAGTGTCTAATTGAATTGGATAATGTTAACACAAGTGAAGTATTTAGTCTTTATTTAAGTTCTTGAAAATAATTCTTGCGGGTTTTCTATGTTAGTAATCCAAGTGAGTTAAGTCCCACATTGAGTAAGAATGAAAAAGTTGAGCAACATGTAAGAAAGTATGACCCATAACCCAATGTCTTAAGATTTTAGGTTGAGAGTGGTGTCAATCCCTTATGTTGGTTTGACTCATGTCTCATTGGTATTAGTTCTCCCACATGAACCCCCCTCGAAAGACCCAATATTCTATCCATTCAAAAACTTGACCATTCTTGGTAAGTTTAGTTAAAGAAATAGCTATTATAGAAAATCATTCCAATGAATATTCTATAATACCTTACAAAACTACCAATCTTAGTCATTATTTTTAGTAGATTTCATTATAAAATTGTTTCTACTTTAGTTAAGTCTACTCATTTGTAAATCACTTGTCCCATAAATTTCACTTATTCTAACTAAAATTTACACTTAGATAGTTAAATAAAAATAAATATTATATTTAACTTTAATTATTTGAAAGATAAAAATTGCAAGAGTTTGAAGTTAATTAATAATATATTAAAATATTCATACTAATATATTTTCAAATATATTTTATTTGAATTATTAGTGGTAAATTTGATAATTTATATTTTAAATATATATACATATATTAATTAATATTATTAATATATTTAAATATAAGTTAACTTGTATTTGTGAAGGATATGTGAAAAAATTATTTCTGGCAAACTTATTATGAAATTACCAATGGATATTTTATAGGAACTTTACATTCTTTTAATTTATTATTTGTGACAAAATATTCGCTCGTAATATCATAATATATTTTTTGGTAGTGAGCGATTAGTGAAAGAGGAAAAAGTAAGAATGATACATCAAGATGAATGAGATAGAGAAAAAATTGAAAGGAAAATGGAGGAAAAATGAGACATTGAAGGGAAAAACATAATAATGAAAAGAAAGGGGATGGAATTGTTAAATATTATAAAAAAATAAAACGGGAAAATGAATAGAAAATTGGAAGTACACTAAAAAAATATTAAAATATCATATAAACATATTGAATTGTTTGAAATTTCTTAAAATCACTTCTTTTCATAAGGATGTGAAACAATGAGACTTGTATTTTAGTAGATTTTTATATGAGAAACAACTTATGCGAATTTCTCCCACTGTAAATGACAAAAAAAATAATTTCAAACCTTTGTTATTAGTGAGTAAGATTTATTGTCTTTAGAAATTGATTTTTATCCAACAAAACACCAACACACCTTTGTCATTTTATTTATCAATAAGGATGCAATCGACAAAAGTAAAAGAAATTACAAAAGAGAATTTCAAACCCTAATTGGGGAACTAGGAGGATGTGGGTGGGAAATACAATGACAAAGTCCTTCCACGGTACAATATGCTTGTCCATGTTTTTGTTGACACAATTGTTCACATGTACTATTTTTGCACCCATTGAACGTAATATGTGCCTCAGACTCCTTTGTAACATCACCATCCCCTCTCTAACAACAAAACACTATATACATGTAAATATACAATGAAACTCTATGTAATGAATAAAAGGAAAAACTTACAAAAAGTTTGAATAGTTCATATACCTTAGTGAAATGTAGTAGATGGTCAAAATAACTAAAAGAGAATATATAATTTGATTTCTCATTTTTTTTTCTTGTAAGCTTAATAGTTGTAACAGCATGTGCTCTTGTGAATAATAGGTGCTCTTATGAGCACTTATAAATACAATCCAATTTAAAAGAGTTTTATGAAGGTCATTTAATGACTTGTCTTATTATCTTCTTTTTAAAATATATGATGTTTAAAGTTGAAATATACATTTCTAAATAACAGTTTATTTTTATTATTCTCAATAAATTTGTTAGTCTTTTCATTGATACGTTATCAACTTAATATTTTCTTCAAATCACTTTTAATAACTTCTCATATTTTCCTACAATAAATACAATTAAAAAGATAAAGGTATAATTGATAAAATAATAATTAATGCAGTCTTAAATTTTACAATCAACAAATATTTAAAATTAAAATTTTCTCAAAAAAACGTATCATATATTCAAACCGAGAGAGTATGTAATTAACAAGATAGATTTTAAAAGACATTTAATAAATTCTTTTGAAAAATAATATATAATTATTTAATAATATAAGTTTTAACGTTATATATATATATATATATATATATATATATATATTATTTCAATTTAATAATATAAATCAACACATTATTTTAAGAAATTATAATTTAGAACAATAATAAATAATAACAAATATATATATATATATATATTAAATTATCGACAAATAAATAATAATCTTATTATTAAATTTATTGAAAATTTTGATTTAAAAAATAAATTATTTTTTTTAAATTATAGCGAGTCAAGGTTTACATCCCGTCATGACTATAGCGGGTCAGCTCGCCCTGTCCCGCTTTTGGCGGACCAATAACGGGCGCTCGACCCGTTTTGTCATCCCTAGTTTTGTGGTGACTGAAAGACCCAACAGTAGTATCATATCAGAGCCAGAGTTTGAAGTTAATTTATATTTTAAATATATATATATATATATATATATATATATATTAATATTATTAATATATTAAAATATAAGTTAACTTGTATTTGTGAAGGATATGTGAAAAAATTATTTCTGGCAAACTTATTATGAAATTACCAACGGATATTTTATAGGAACTTTACATTCTTTTAATTTATTATTTGTGACAAAATATTCACTCGTAATATCATAATATATTTATTGGTAGTGAGCGATTAGTGAAAGAAGAAAAAGCAAGAATGACACATCAAGAAGAATGAGATAGAGAAAAATTAAAAGGAAAGTGGAGGAAAAATGAGACATTGAAGGAAAAAACATAATAATGAAAAGAATGAGGATGAAAGTGTGAAATATTAGAAAAAAAAATTAAACGAGAAAATGAATAGAAAATTGAAAGTACATTAAAAAAATATTAAAATATCATATAAACATATTGAATTGTTTGAAATTTCTTAAAATCACTTCTTTTCATAAGGATGTGAAATAATGAGACTTGTATTTTAGTAGATTTTTATATGAGAAACAACTTATGTGAATTTCTCCCATTGTAAATGACAAAAAAATAATTTAAACCTTTGTTATTAGTGAGAAAGATTTATTGTCTTTAGAAATTGATCTTTATCCAACAAAACACCAACACACCTTTGTCATTTTATTTATCAATAAGGATGCAATCAACAAAGGTAAAAGAAATTACAAAAGAGAATTTCAAATCCTAATTGGGGAACTAGGAGGATGTGGGTGGGAAATACAATGACAAAGTCCTTCCACGGTACAATATGCTTGTCCATGTTTTTGTTGACACAATTGTTCACATGTACTATTTTTGCATCCATTGAACGTAATATGTGCCTCAGACTCCTTTGTAACATCACCATTCCCTCTGTAACAACAAAACACTATATACAATGAAACTCTATGTAATGAATAAAAGGAAAAACTTACAAAAAGTTTGAATAGTTCATATACCTTAGTGAAATGTAGTAGATGGTCAAAATAACTAAAAGAGAATGTATAATTTGATTTCTCATTTTTTTTTCTTGTAAGCTTAATAGTTGTAACAATATGTGCTCTTGTGAATAATAGGTGCTCTTGTGAGCACTTATAAATACAATCCAATTTAAAAGAGTTTTATGAAGGCCATTTAATGACTTGTCTTATTATCTTCTTTTTAAATATATGATGTTTAAAGTTGAAATATACATTTCTAAATAGTTTATTTTCATTATTCTCAATAAATTTGTTAGTCTTTTCATTGATACGTTATCAACTTAATATTTTCTTCAAATCACTTTTAATAACTTCTCATATTTTCCTACAATAAATACAATTAAAAAGATAAAGGTATAATTGATAAAAGAATAATTAATGCAGTCTTAAATTTTACAATCAACAAATATTTAAAATTAAAATTTTCTCAAAAAAACGTATCATATATTCAAACCGAGAGAGTATGTAATTAACAAGATAGATTTTAAAAGACATTTAATAAATTCTTTTGAAAAATAATATATAATTATTTAATAATATAAGTTCTAACGTTATATATATATATATATATATATATATTATTTCAATTTAATAATATAAATCAACACATTATTTTAAGAAATTATAATTTAGAACAATAATAAATAATAACAAATATATATATATATATATATATATATTAAATTATCGACAAATAAATAATAATCTTATTATTAAATTTATTGAAAATTTTGATTTAAAAAATAAATTATTTTTTTTAAATTATAGCGAGTCAAGGTTTACATCCCGTCATGACTATAGCGGGTCAGCTCGCACTGTCCCGCTTTTGGCGGACCAATAACGAGGCGATCGACCCGTTTTGTCATCCCTAGTTTTGTGGTGACTGAAAGACCCAACAATAGTATCATATCGAGCCAGAGTTTGAAGTTAATTTATATTTTAAATATATATATATATATATATATTAATATTATTAATATATTAAAATATAAGTTAACTTGTATTTGTGAAGGATATGTGAAAAAATTATTTCGGCAAACTTATTATGAAATTACCAACGGATATTTTATAGGAACTTTACATTCTTTTAATTTATTATTTGTGACAAAATATTCACTCGTAATATCATAATATATTTATTGGTAGTGAGCGATTAGTGAAAGAAGAAAAAGCAAGAATGACACATCAAGAAGAATGAGATAGAGAAAAATTAAAAGGAAAGTGGAGGAAAAATGAGACATTGAAGGAAAAAACATAATAATGAAAAGAATGAGGATGAAAGTGTGAAATATTAGAAAAAAAAATTAAACGAGAAAATGAATAGAAAATTGAAAGTACATTAAAAAAATATTAAAATATCATATAAACATATTGAATTGTTTGAAATTTCTTAAAATCACTTCTTTTCATAAGGATGTGAAATAATGAGACTTGTATTTTAGTAGATTTTTATATGAGAAACAACTTATGTGAATTTCTCCCATTGTAAATGACAAAAAAATAATTTAAACCTTTGTTATTAGTGAGAAAGATTTATTGTCTTTAGAAATTGATCTTTATCCAACAAAACACCAACACACCTTTGTCATTTTATTTATCAATAAGGATGCAATCAACAAAGGTAAAAGAAATTACAAAAGAGAATTTCAAATCCTAATTGGGGAACTAGGAGGATGTGGGTGGGAAATACAATGACAAAGTCCTTCCACGGTACAATATGCTTGTCCATGTTTTTGTTGACACAATTGTTCACATGTACTATTTTTGCATCCATTGAACGTAATATGTGCCTCGGACTCCTTTGTAACATCACCATTCCCTCTCGTAACAACAAAACACTATATACAATGAAACTCTATGTAATGAATAAAAGGAAAAACTTACAAAAAGTTTGAATAGTTCATATACCTTAGTGAAATGTAGTAGATGGTCAAAATAACTAAAAGAGAATGTATAATTTGATTTCTCATTTTTTTTCTTGTAAGCTTAATAGTTGTAACAATATGTGCTCTTGTGAATAATAGGTGCTCTTGTGAGCACTTATAAATACAATCCAATTTAAAAGAGTTTTATGAAGGCCATTTAATGACTTGTCTTATTATCTTCTTTTTAAATATATGATGTTTAAAGTTGAAATATACATTTCTAAATAGTTTATTTTCATTATTCTCAATAAATTTGTTAGTCTTTTCATTGATACGTTATCAACTTAATATTTTCTTCAAATCACTTTTAATAACTTCTCATATTTTCCTACAATAAATACAATTAAAAAGATAAAGGTATAATTGATAAAAGAATAATTAATGCAGTCTTAAATTTTACAATCAACAAATATTTAAAATTAAAATTTTCTCAAAAAAACGTATCATATATTCAAACCGAGAGAGTATGTAATTAACAAGATAGATTTTAAAAGACATTTAATAAATTCTTTTCAAGAATAATATATAATAATTTATTTTGTGAAATAATTAGGTTATTATTATTATTATCATTATTATAATTATTTCTATAATAATATATAATTTACAATAATTAATATTAATTTTGGAAAAGAATTAATACTATTATTATTATTATTTTGACTAATATTTGAAAAAAATAGTCTTATGAGAAATTAATAATATTATTATTGTTTTTTGACTAATAAGATTTCTTTTTGGAAAATAGTTAATACTGTTATTGTTGTTGTTGTTTTGGTAAACAATTAATAATAATATTAGTATTACTATTATGACATCAAAAGTTGTTAAAATATTTTGGAAAATAATTATGCTAATATATTATAATATTTTATTATTTAGAGTGTTTTTTATTATAAGATTTTATAATAGTTTAAGATTAACATTCTTTTACAAAGAAAATGGGATCACTTTGGAAGTCAAATAGTTTAATATTGAAACTTTCAGTCCATTTGGAAACTTTCCTATCTGATGTTATCATATGTTTTGGCATACATATATCCACAGTTAGAACAGTTTAATTTTTAGATAAAAAATTTAACATATATAAATATAGTCAATAAGAAATAATCACTCGTATCATTTTTAAAATTAATTATTTTAAATTATTAAGAAATTTATTATATATTTTTTTATCGTTTTTTATTGGGTGATATTTTTTTTATACTTTTCTACATGCACTATTTGTGTATATTAAAGTATTTATTTGGGTGTTTATTCTTATCCAAGTAAAGTTACAAGAATGAATCAAAATGACAATTTTTGTTTGAATCTCAAATTAAAATGTAACAAACTTTTTATTAAAATTGGTCAGACAATATATATATATATATATATATATATATATATATATATATATATATATATATATATATATATATATATATAAGGTGTAGAATTTTAAGTAAGAAAGTAAGCAAACTCAAAGAATTTTTTACGTGAAAGTTTATTTTCAAGGATTAGGGAGGGAGGAAGACATGGAAAGAAGCTAGAAAAGAATGAACATAAGGATTGAAAAAAATGGACCAGCTCCTTGAATAAATAAATAGTGTAAAGAAATAAAGAAAAAAATGAAAATAAGAGAAGTATAGTGAAGGTGGAATATTGGTACATCACTAGGAATTAGCCACCTGGTGACAGACCTTGACCATTTATGTTGGTGGGTCAAATAATGTATTATTAATAAATAATAAATAAACATAAAAGGATAAAAAAAGATGAAAAGGTGAGAAGATAAAATTGTAAATATATAAGTAAATATATTAAATAATTTTTAAGTTTGAGGGGATCAAAATGATTGAGACCAAAATCATAAATGATATGGGAGTTACATAAGATATCACGACTCCCCTTAGTTTCCAAGGAGATCAACCACTTGGAGTTACCCTAAATAAGTGGTGGTTGTCGCCACTTGAAGGAATGTTCAAGACAAGATACTCAAAGAGATGAAATACTGTAAGAAACCTCACACACTTGTCATAAAATGTTCAACTTAATTACATAAGGGAAAACCTTCTTACTGAAGGGACCTAGATGAAATTACAAAAAGAGACATAAACTTAAGATAAACCTAAAGACTAAGAATTCTCATGACTCAAATATGTTAAATTCGTCATAGTCCATAAAAAATACATCTAAGGGTGTACAGAATATGAAAAAAAGGTATGCTTCTTTTGGGTTGTCTCAAGTCTACCAATCTTGCATCCCAAACTTCTTTCTCTTCAAAAAGGGGTGCAAGACATGAGAAAGGAGTGTTTTACACCTTGGTCAACCCATGCAGCCATTTTATATATCCAAACTTTCATTTCCATCAAAAGAGGTGGTGATCTTAAAAAATGAGCTGTATAAAGCAGTCCTACAAAAAAAAATACAAAAATGAGTTTCTCTAAAATTTAAAAAATAAAAATGCTAAAAAAAACTTAAAATAGAGGATGAAGAGGATATTTCCCTTCTAATCGTACTTCTCGTAATCCTCCTAAATAACCTTTCTCACCTCCTCAAGAACAACTAGAACTTATTATAAAATATAATTGTCAAAACTCAAATAAAAGATTATTTCAAATGACGACATATAAAAACTCAAGCATTATTTAAAAGAATTTGAAATACAGCAAAATGGTATCCACATCTTGATTTTTTTTTTCATAAGCTATTACAAATTCACAAATACAAACAAAATATCTAGCTAAGCATTTCTATTTTTCTTTTACATTTCAACTTTTAACACATTAAAAAAGTTCTTTCAGATGCAATCATGCAAGCCACTCGCAGAAAAAAAAATTGAATGAATATTTGAAAAATTAAATCATTCATTATAACGCGTTATTTATATAATATAATATAACTGTAATGATAGAAACAATAAAAGTAAACATTATATTTAAAATAAATTATTCCATAGATAAAAATTTGAAGAGTTTAGAGTTAA